AGTATATCAGCAAATTATCAAATATCAGCAATTCTTTAAATTCATTAATGAACATTTCATGATATTATAACAGAATGTATCTTAAACATTCCAATCACTTCATGAAGGTTAATTTAACACTAACCAGTATCTATGAAGCTTGATCACTGCTTTGTGAATGAGTTTGGTTTTTTTCAGTCCGTTCCTGGTCTCTGACTAAGGGTGAGCATTTAACTATAGGTCTGATCTGCAGTTCACTCCTACAAATCAAATTCATCTGCCTAAAGAAAAGAAAGCAAGGGCATAAAGTAGAAAGGAGAAACATGTAATGTACTTGTATATTTTTTTTCCAACCCCAGGTGGTGTCAATCTAAGAAAAAGCCACAAAACAGGCCATAAGTTGCAGACATGTCCTTGCTGTCATTACTCTTATTTTTTTCCAAGCCTGCACTTTATCTGTTTTCTGTATATAAAGAGTTTCTCATCAGCAACATTTGCAAGCTTCACATAAATAAAAGGGTTATTAAAAATGCGATATGACTTCTCTGTGTGTGGTTGAGAATAACACAATGCAAATCCCTTTTTAGAATCCCACATGGTCTCTGAATGGCAAAACAATTTATGTGGAAGAAATTCCTCTTGATTGTTTGCAGCCCTCTTGTCAGGCAGTATATGATTTGGAACATCTCCATTTTGCAATTTATTCTTGCAGTTGTTTACTTCTCCAGAACTAAAGTAACTGGTTACCTGGTAGACTATCAACAGGAAAAGAAAAATTAAAAGAAAGAAATTCGTTGTAGTTTATATTTCACTTGTGTGAAAAGTGTCCAGTCCTTCTGTTCTCTAGAACATTCTTTTGAAAGAATGCCTTTTGATTAGTTTTTGTCGTTTATACAGATGCTCTGTTACCCGATGCCTCCTGCCCACCCAGGAAAGGAGGAAAAGGAAAGGAGATTTGTGGGTTGAAATATAAATACATTTAATATAATAATAATAATAGAAACAATATTAATAACAGTTATAAAATACACAGAGTTATACTCAGTCTATATTGTGGGGGGGAATATGCCCCAGGGGTAGGATGGTAAATAAGTCCCTCTTGGGATGTCAGCTGTGGAAAAGGGAAGAAGGAAGAGAGGACCATCCTGAGCAAACTCCCCAGTTTATAATGTACATGTCCTTTATCATATGGAATAATTCTCCTCCCAACTTCTGCACCTGCCTGACTCAAGACTGTTAAAAACCTTGATCACTGTGGCAACCTGCATACCAGGACTGGCCACAAACTGAAATTTGTTCCCATGAAAATAGAATGTTGTAGTCCTTACAAAATTGCAGTTTTCCTCAACAGAAAACAAACTCTAAAATTCTGTCCCAGCAAACCAGGACACTCGTTTAATATGGGGAAAAGATTGGTGAATCCCAGATTAGCACTCAGCTGGTAGGATAAAAATGCAAACTTATATAAAACACTATGCAAGTCCTGTCAAAATAGCTGTCGGATTCAGATTTTTTATAATATTGGAAAATTTTTTGTCCAAGAGAGATTCATGTCACACCAAATTCCAATTAAAGTTATATTATACTATAAAATAATATATAATGATATAAAACTAATAGTAATATTTAATAATGTAATATAACAATATAATGCATTTTATTTACTAATGTAACATAATACTGACATATCTGAAATTTGATTTGATTTATTTTTTTAATAATTTAAATAATTATGTTAAAACACAGGGGTTTTTTTTTGCTTTGTGCTGTTCAATGTTCCAAAGCATGTCAGAATCAGTAGAGAAGGTTTAAGTAGTTTGAATGAGCTGTGGATCAGGCTGTTACAGGGAGGAGGTGCTTTTAACTTGTAAGAGTTTGAAAAGCTCAGCATTATTATGACTATAGCTTTTCAATACAAGCCATGTGTGGACATGGTATGAAAACGCTTCTAGGACAATTAGCAGAGCTGTAGCTCTTACATTTGCAGCTAAGACACTGCTTTCCCAACATGTGCCTCTGCAACTGTAGCGGCTCAGCTGTAATTCCCTTTCTGAAGCCTTTCAATGTGGCTTTTGCTTTGTTTCCTGATAATGGATAATATAATCCTGATTTTGCTCACTGAGCTTAGTGACTTATGAAAGTGCTGCATCCCTCATTTTTTTGGTACTGTCTATCCATAAAATGCTAGTTTGGGTCTTGCTGTCTCTTAAAGCTTCTAAAGGTGACTTTTTTCCTAATGTGATTTAGACATTTTTTCAAAGATTATCCTGATTAGTGGGAAGACAAGAGGTCTGTATGATTTAAACACAGAATGAGTGAATGGGTTGAAGAAAGCGAAGAAGATAACCACATTGTGGACTTGAAAGAGGAGGTGGAGACACCTCTGATAGGGTAGTGAGAGAAAAAACTCTCTCAGTGAATACACTGTCAGTTGGTGGCTGCACGTCCTTTAGTACATGTCAGTTAGGTAGGCTGACATTTTCATTTGGATAAAGGAGTTAAGAGGGAAATGGAAAGCAAGATATACAGGACATTAGCCTAGAGAAATGGTTTTGTTGGTATTGTGGGAGACATTAGGTAGTGATATCATAGAGAAGATAAACAAAGAGGCAGATTCAAGGGTAGAGACTTATGGAACTGCAGACAGGAGAAGTGAGGATGAAGACAACTCTCCAAAAGAGAAAAAAAAGGAGTAGGAAGAACAATATCATTGCATTTCTATAGAATTCTTATTTTATGAGCTTCATGATTTGGAACTGAAGACTATGGAATAAAAAATTATAACTTTAAACTTCTAGAAAACATTAAGTGTTTAATAAAAATATATGAGAAGGAACAGGGAAAATCTGTTACTGATTCTTGGGGCTGAATAGGACTCCGTAACCATTATAGCTTTTAAAAATGTAGTTTATTTTACAGCTTGTGCTCATATAATTTTATTTCCTAAAACTTATAAGGTCTTAAAAGTTCCTAAAGATTGAATTAAAAATCTTAAAATATCAATTACTTAGCTTAAAATTTCTGAAATACTGAGCTCTATGTAATGAAGAAAAAAAAATTCTGGCTCATACTTTGCTGGTGGCCATTACACTGGCTCTGGGACTTTAGACAAGAAAGATCAGCACTATAAGTTAAAGTACTTGAGCCTTACCTGCAGTAAGTAATAAAGATGAATGTTCCTGAATCTTTTTTTGCCACTTCGTTTGTTCTGGCTGCAGCTCTGTTTTCTGGATTAGTATTATCATCACTTTACACAGCGTAGACTGAGCTACAAGAAAATCTGGGGATATCAGAAATTGACAAATTGTGAAATGTTTGAGAGATATACAGTTATTTAAGTCCTTCTCAAAACAGTGAGTGTTTGGCACGTCAGCCTTTAAGGTAACTTTGCAAATGTCTACCAGTAGTTTTATTAAAAAATACTTTCTCATTCACAATTTTATTCAATACTGTCTCACTTTCTGGTCTGTAAGATGAAAACCATAATGGGACTGTGTGAACACTAAGAGTTTATTTTTTTTCAAAGAATATAATACAGCTTTTAGACATGAGCTTAATTACTAAATAAGTATTTTCATGATCTTAAAATCAAGTGCCTTATTTAAGAAAGTTAAAATCTCTGATCTCTCAATCTCTTTTTTTACTGGTTTCCTATCTACTGTCCAGTAAGACAGACTCTGCCAAATGGAAATGTGGTAATGTAAAATGTAGAAAAAAAGAAAGATATTACATTGGTTTTGCTAATTTGATATAATTGGCATGTTTCTTGCTAATTTCATATATACAGTATTATCATACATACATTTTGGTGCTGTGTCTAATTCTTGCAAATACGAATTTCTCCGTTCATACAATTTATATAGCACAATTAGTGAATAGAGCTAAACGTATAATTATATGCATCCCACTGTGGTTGAAATCTTTGCTCCATCTTATCGTGATGTAATACATAGGAAAGCAACTGTTTCATGTGAAGCCTTAGCTATTTCAGGTTGCGAGTTTGTGGTAGTTTCTCTAGTTTGCCTAGGAGGGTCTCATTAGCAATGACACGTAAATCTCCAATTTTGGATGAGGGCACAAATTATGCTTTAGAGAACTGGGATTTCAATAGTGAACAGCATATGCCATATTTCCAGTCATCAGCTAGCTTTGCATTTGGTCTTCTGAATTGTGGTGCTA